GTTCGGAGTCACACAGGCAGCAAGTGGCAAAGCCAAGCAACCTGACTCCTCAGCTCATCATCTTAACCTCAGTACACCCCAAAGAAAGCTCTTCCTTAAATCTAACTTTCATTTCCTTAAATCTAACTTTTATTCCAGCTGCTGCAGCTCCGTTTCCTGGTGCGGGTCCTCAACAGAGAATGGAGCACAAAGGAGATCAGTAGAACCTCCCTCCTAAATATTGAATTATGCAGAAGGGAAAAAAGGAAAGCAACTTTATTGAACACCTACTGTGCGCTGGTTACCATACTAGGCATTGTATTTCTGATAGCTCATTTAATTATCACAAAATCCCTGGGAGGAGTAATTATCGTTGTGACAGATTAGGCAACAGAGGCTTGGAGAAGGTAAACACCATCTCCAAGCTTCTGCAGCCCAACAGATACGCATTGAGTATCCTTTGTGTGTCCAGCACTGTACTGAGGCTGGAGAGGCAGAGGTAAGAATACGGTTTCTACCCTCAAAGAGTTCACAGTATAATGGAGGAGGCAGGCGGCCAACAGCCTACCACAGTATTACAGGATTAATGGGGAGAAGGGCCCCTGATTCAGTTTGACTAAGGTGTGGAAGCCCAGAGGGGTGCTGAGCTCAGGCTGGATGCTCGAACTGGGTCAGGAACAGGACTTGGCCAGCGGGAGGTGACAGGCACTCCACAGAGAAAGGGCAGAGGGTCGTTCCAGAGCCTGGGGCAGGCAGGGAAATACTAGTGAATTTGGCATGACGGGCTGGATCTGAGGAAGCAGGGACTGGTGAGGCAGGAGAGGGAGGCGAGGGTAACTTGCATGTCTGGTTGAGGAGTTAGGCTGCGATGACAGGCCTCTGAAGAAAGGCAGGGAAAGGAGAAGGATCGCAGGGCCATTGGCAAGGCTGAGATGGGAGCTCCATAAAGGCAGGAACTAAAACTGTGTCTCACCATTGTGTTGCTGCACCTGCTCCAGGAGCAAGTTCTCTGAATGACAAACAAAAGGCCCATTCTCTTTCATTAAGAACTGACTGGGGCCAGGCGCGGTGGCTCATGCCTGTAATCCCAACACTTTGGGAGGCCAAGGCAGGCAGATCACTTGAGGTCAGGAGTTCGAGACCAGCCTGGCCAACATGGTGAAACCCCGTCTCTACTAAAAATACAAAAATTTAGCCCGGCATGGTGGTGCGTGCCTATAGTCCCAGCTACTCAGGAGGCTGAGGCAGGAGAATTACTTGAACCTGGGACGTAGAGGTTGCAGTGAGCCGAGATCATGCCACTGCACTCCATCCTGGGTGACAGAGCGAGACTCCATCTCAAAAAAAATAAATAAATAAAAATAAAAAATAAATAAAAACTGACTGGAAGGCCAGGTACAGTGGCTCACGCCTGTAAAACCAGCACTTTGGAAGGCTGAAGTGGGCAGATCACTTGAGGTCAGGAGTTCAAGACCAGCCTGGCCAACATGGCGAAACCCCATCTCTACTAAAACTATAAAAATTAGCCAGGCATGGTGGCAGGCACTTGTAATTCCAGCTACTTGGGAGGCTGAGGCACAAGAATCACTTGAACCTGGGAGGCAGAGGTTGCAGTGAGCCAAAATCATGCCACTACATTCCAGCCTAGGTGACAAAGCGAGACTCGTCTCAAAAAAAAGAACTGACTAGACATGGGAAAGTGGAGAAGGGGTTGTAAGGAATGACTCCTGAGTCCCTGAGCTGCATGACTAGGGAGAGGAGGGGATGGTGGTTAATTCACCATGACAAGGTACGTGGGGATTGGAGACAGATTTGGTGAAGTGGGGGAAGATTCATCCAGTTGATCATTCATTCAACAAACACGCATGGAGGCCTTACTGTGTGGCAAGCAGTGTTCTAGACACTGGAGATAAAGTTTTGAACAAAACAGATAAAAAATGTTGCTCTTATGGAACTTTCAGTCTAGTGGGGATTGAGACAACCAATATCAGATGGTGAAAAGGGATATGGGGGAGACAGAGATAGTGAGTGGGAGGGAAGGGGCTTGCAAATTTTGAAAAGGGTGCTCAGAGAAGGCCTCAATGAGAAAGGGACATTTAAGCAAAGACCTGAAGAAGGGTAGGGACCAGCCCATGTAGCTATTTGCAGGGGAAACAGTCCAGGCAAATGAAACAGCAAAGGCAAAGGCCCGGAGGCAAGAGACAGCATAACAAGTTCAAGAAGCAAAGAACACAGAGTAGCTGGAGCCAGGCAGCAAAGGGGAGAATAACAGGAGAGGGATCCAGGAGGTAATGGGGATACCAGGTTGTGTAGGGCCTTGTAGACCATTGAAAGGGCTTTGACTTTGACTCTGAATGAGACAGGAGCCATTGGAAAGGTTGGGATGAGGATGGCCTGATCAGACTTCTGTTTGATTGATATCGCACTGGCTGCTGAAGGAACTACAGACAGGTAAGGGAACCAGGATGAAATGGAAGCAGGAGAGCAGGGAAGGGGCTATTGCGATGATCTAGGCAAGAGATGAGGGTAGCTGGGAGCTAGCTAGTATTGGCTTCAGTTATATTTGTATTTTCCAATATATTATCATAAAAACGTTTGAACGTAGAGCCAACTTGAACTTTACAGTGAATACCCAGGATTCTGGTTATATTTTGAAAGAAGACAGTCCATGGGACTCACTGAGTGAGCAGAGCCTGTAGGGTATCTTGGAAGGGTTACAGCGGGCGGTCAGGTCATTTGACCTGGAACTAGAACTGCAGCCCTGGTCTGCAGCATCACACCAGACCCAGACGCCTAAGAATGATTATATGTTAAGGACAGTCTGCTGGTCTGTTGGTACCTAACCTTTTTTGGGTTATGAATCCAATAAACTATGAGCAGTTTGAACCTTTCTCAGAAAATGCAAGGAAAATGGTTTGTAGTTGCAGAGGAATCATGAATACAGACCAATAAAAGACATAAAATGTAGTCTATTTCACTCAATTACAAAATATTCAGTGTTGCAGAACCATTGTGGGTAAACATTACTAATTTTTAGTGAACATATGAGGACCCCGTGCCTCACCAAGACATCCTCCTGTCTTGCCCCCAGAATTCCTGTTTCTCCATCTGCCTGGTCTATGGGCAATGTGCAGAATACGTAATGAAGAGGGGAGCAGTGAGTATTGGGTTATAAAATTCCCTGGAACCTGGAACACACCCTTCTGAGTACTGTGAAGACGTGGGCCCCAAGGCTAGAGCTGAAAAGAGGCTTGGGGCCGGGTGAGCCTTCCAGGCGGGGTCTGCCTCCAAGTGATGCTCCCCCAGGGTGGGGGCCATAGGGATGGAACCCAGCCAGGTGGGAGCCTGGGCCCTGCCCAGCCTCAAAGCTTCGAACTCAGGAAATCCGGAGGCAGGGGAGGGGGACATCGTTGCCACATTCCCCAGCCCTTTAAGACCCCCAAGGCAGGAAGGCTGCCCGGGCCTCACCAGCTTCCCTCACAGGCTCCTTCCTGGGAGGAAGGGGCTGCCTGTGCCCTCGAAGGCGCAAGGGAGGGTAGGAGGGAGGCTCGGAAGGTGTTGCAATCCCCAGCCCCCGGGCCTGTCAGAGGCCGAGCCATTAACGACAGAGCTCGGGGAGAGAAGCTGGACTGCAGCTGGTTTCAGGAACTTCTTTTGACGAGGAGAAGAGAGACCAAGGAGATCAAGCAGGGGCCGGGCCAGAGGCTCCAACGTGAGTAGGGGATCCCTAGAGAGGGGCTAAGCCTTGGGCTTGATGGAGAGCTGGAATCCTGGAGCCACTCCCCACAGCTCTGCCAAGTGTTCATGTCCGGGGTCCTAGGCCTGGGGCCAAGGATTCGTCCTTTGGAACCCCAGCCCTGGACAGTGAGTCTCTTTTCACAGGATGCCCCTACTTTGGGGGGTATTGTACCAGGGAAGTCACTCACAGTCAAGTAGCTCCTTGGGGACACTGAGCTGGGCTGGGGACAGGCATAACCATTCTCCCCTCCCCATGCCTCTCAGGACGTGTGTGTCTGAGTTCCAGCCTCGCAACCCCTCCCCGTCTGGGTCTCTATTTCACTCTCTGTTTCCATCTTTCCTCCTCAGCTTCTCTCTGGCTTGTTATTTCTCTGAGTTTCTCTGTCTCGCATATTTCCTGCTATCTCTTGAATCTTAAACTCTTGGTAACAGACCGACTCCTGGGCTCTGGGCCTCCGAGTGCCCCCCCACTCTCTGGGTCAATGTACATCGGGCCCTTTTTCTGTGTCTCTCGACATCTCTCTGGCCTCAGTCGTCCTCTTGGTGGGTCTCTGTCATTTCGGTCTGTGCGGATTTCAGTCACCTCCTCACTCTGCCACTCTTTGTATCTCTCTCTCTCTTTTTCTTTATCTGCAGCACATCTGGAAAGGCCTCTCCCCTCTGTTTATTCCCAGCGCCCTCCTGCCTCCCCACCCTTCCCACGGTGAGAGTAGAAACAGCAAGGGGGCCAGGGGTGTGAACTGGGGAGGAGAGTGGAGGGGAGACGGTTGAGTGTGATGAGGGAGAAATAGAAGGAGGGGATGTGAGGGCAGCCAGCCCAGGAGGCATCAAGGTGCGCTGAGCCGCGGGAGCGAGCACCTGCAGGGCCCAGCGGAGATGACCAGTGATGGGAGGGCCAGGGGGCCAGGGAGCTAGGAAGAGGGGATCCAGAAATGGGGCTTTGGAACTGTGCAGTGTGGCACAGACAAAAGCAAGGTGGCAGTCCTGGGAGGTGTGACCACGCAGGCCGTGAGGAAGGCAGGGGTGAGGCGAGAACTGAACTGTGCTGGATTCCATGAGCTGCTGACCCGTTTTATGGCTCGTGAAAATAACCTATGGTTGCTGAGTGCCAACTCCATTCCAGGCACAGCGCTAAGTGCCTTTACCATAATCATCTCATTTCATCCTCACAACAACCCTGAGGAGTGAGTGCTAATGTTCTTTCTTTTCCACAGATGGGGAAACTGAGGCTCGGCTCGGAAAGGTGAAGTAACTTGTCCAAGGTCACAAAGCAGCTGGTAAGTGGCAGAGCTGGAGATCAAGTCAGGTGACCTGAGTCTGAGCTGGGCTCCAAAGCTCTCTGTATATCGGCCCCCCAGAGAGTGAGACCGAACAGGCCTAGGCCCGCTCAACCAGGCTGGGGGATGTCTAGGGCTGCAGTGGAGGACCAGGGACTGAGGCCAAGCAGGCCAACACCCAGCACCCAGGGGGAGGATGCCGGGGCCTCTTGGGGTTAGGTTATCTACTCTGGACAGGAGCCATTTGGGGGGGGATATGGTGGTACTGCACGGGGCACAGGCTAGGCCTGAAGCTGACCCTGGCTAGGGCAATAGGGCTGGGATATGATCAAAAGCACATGGAGATGAAAACCAGTGTCCCAAAATCTGGGCCTTGAAGACTAAATCTTCCCCGACCAGTGTTGGGGGGGATGGATAATCAAACTGGTATGCTGTAGTAAGAAGGTTACCATCCACCGATGGGTAGACAGAGGCTCGGGATAGTTGTGCAGGTTTCTCACTGCACAAAACTGAGGAGTAACTAGAGCCAAAATCCAGGCTGTTCCCTAGTTGCCAGGTCCTAGTGTGGTGCTGCATCCATCCCGAGGATGGGGTGTTTTCTTTCTGATTTGCACAAAGGAGACTTACAGGCTAGCAGTCACTGGGTATTCTGATACTGCAATATACACAAATAGACTGGGGGTTTGGGTAAGGCCCCTGAGAGCAAGAACAGCCTTGGGTATCTGGGCAGTTCTTATCCACACCTCTGTCTGGGAGGGAGAGAAAAGGATTCTCCTATCTTTCTCCCTGCTGAGCACGAGGGACCTGCTGGGACACTATCTGCATGTATGTGTCCAGATATGTACATGCAAGCTGACCAGCAATTCCCACTGATCTGCCACCAAGAGCACCAATTCATGCTGGAGGATCAGGTGTTGGCCCCAAGACCCCAATGGGAGCAGGGTGAAGATGAGGCTAGATACCCACCCAAGTGGTAGAAACCTCTGCATACTTCCTAAGACTGGAGCCAAGGCACCCTCCATCCAGGTGCTATGGCCGCGACCATATGATGCCTGACTCCAGAAGGCCACCAAAGGTCTGTGCCCAGAAGTGGGGGCATACTGGACCCCTCGGGTGCCCCACTTGATATTCTCTCAGCCCTCATGGCTGAGGCAGCCAGCTTCCTGCAGGTGTAACCTGACAGCCCCTTGCCTCAGCTGCTCCATAGAGTTCTCCCTTTCATCCAGGGAGTGTCCCTGACAACACTGGCATGGCTTCCCCAGGAGAACCTGCCCAGTACTCATGCATGCCCAACCTGGATGTGCCAGGGAGTGAACACCCCAAGAGGCATCCCTTGACCAAAGGGGGGCAGGAGTCAGTGGGTAAATCTTCCCATCTTCCCTCCCATCCAAGGGATAAATTGACCCTCCGGTGGACAGCTCTGAGAGGTGTTCTACATGGCTCTTGGGAAGGTTCCAGCAGGATAGAGCCCCAGTTGTCCATAGAGGTGATCAACATATGATGTAACCTTGTGTTGGCTTTCTCTCTGTCCCTGTTTCATTCTCCCCATTTCATCCTCTCCTTATCTGCTGCTAGGATCTTCTCAAAATAAACTACCAGCATGCAATTCCTCATCTCAGGTTCTGCTCTCTGAGGGGAGCCCGGCTTAGATAGCTGGGAAGGGTGAAGAATGCTGTTCCTCACTGCTCCTTTCCCTGCTCTTTCCTGGAAGGCAAGTATAGTAACAGTGGCTGTCACTGTCATTTCCTATGTTCCAGGCACTGTGCAAAGCCCTTGACTTGCATCATTTTGTGTCTTCCTCTCAAAGTCCCATGAAGTATAGGCTGCTGTTACTTCCATTTTGCAAAGAAACTAAGGCTCGGAGAAGTCAAGCAACCTAGTCAAAACTGCACAGTGACAGATAAGGATTAAGATCAGCTCTGACTCCAAAGCCCATGGTCTTAAACAAACCTCCTGCCTCCAGGTGAACATCAAGTTGGCACTATGGCAAGGCTGAGAACCTGCAGCCTGACTTGGGCTGCCCTGATCATCCTGCTGCTCCCCGGAAGTGAGTATGGCCAAGGATGAGGGTGCAGTGGGGAGGGGAAGTTACAAGGAGAGATATTGGGAATCTTCTTGCACTGCCACATGGCTCCTGGGATTCCCAGAGAATCTCAAAAGACTCAAGACTGAGCCACAGATATGGGGTAGCTGGCATCCCACCCACAGACTTCCACAGGCAAACCACTACCCAAGAGGAATGGTGAGATGACCCGGGCTGGTCATCCTGGAAAAGGCCAGTGGGGTGCAGATCTTGTCCACAAATCTCTACCAGGCTGTCAGAAGGAACCCATGGGTCCTATGTAGCCTTGGTGGGCAGCAAAGGGATCAGGACGGAAGCTACAAGGGGACAGGTTTCATCCTGAAATAAAGAAGCCCAGGCAGAGCTTGGTTACCAACTATGGAAACTCTGTCTTGAGAGGTAGAGAACTTCTCATCCCCAGGGGTATGCAAGCTGAAGCCAGGATTGACAAAGATGCTGTGCAGCAGGGGTTGGCAAACTTTGTCTGACAGAAATGTTTAGGCTTTGCAGGCCACATAGTGTCTCTGTTCCTTGTTTGTTTGTTTTTGAGACAGGGTCTGCCTCTGTTGCCCAGGCTGGAGTGCAGTGGCACAATCACAGCTCACTGCAGCCTCAACCTCCTGGGATCAAGTGATCCTCCCACCTCAGCCTCCAAGGTAGTACAGGGCATGCCACTACACCCAGCTAATGTTTTTGTATTTTTTGTAAAGATGTAGTTTTGCCATGCTGGTCTCGAACTCCTGGGTTCTAGTAATCCACCTGCCCTGACCTCCCAAAGGATGGGGATTACAAGCATGAGCTGCCATGCCCTGCCTATCGCATGTTTTTGTTTTTTCAGTTTTTTGTTTGTTTGTTTTTCTGAGATGGAGTCTCACTCTGTCGCCCAGGCTAAAGTACAGTAGTGCGATCTTGGCTCACTGCAACCTCTGCTTGCCGGGTTCAAGCGATTCTCCTGCCTCAGCCTCCCAAATAGCTGGGATTACAGGCACCTGCCACCAGGCCCAGATTATTTTTGTATTTTTAGTAGAAACGGGGTTTCACCATGTTGGCCAGGCTGGTCTCAAACTTCTGACCTCAGGTAATCCGCCCACCTCGGCCTCCCAAAGTGCTGGGATTACAGGCATGAGCCACAGCGCCCAGGCCTGTTGCATGTTTTTATTAGGTTTTTGTTTTGTTTGTTTTTAACTCTTTAAAAATGTAAGGAACATTCTTAGTTGTTAGGCCATACAAAACTAGGCCACTCAAGCTCTGCTGTAGAGGGCAGAGCATCAGGTAGAGTTTTGAAGCAAACGACCTGGTAAAGTTCCTTCCAGCCTGAAATTCTGAGTCTGTGAAGCAGTAGAAGCCCTTTGCTGAGAATCATGAACTTGCTCTGTGACCCTGGGCAAACTGCTTCTCCTCTTAGGGTCTTCGCATCCCCATCAGTAAAACGGGCCTAAGAAAACCTGAGAGAGGACAGAAAGCATTGCAGGCAAAGTGTATGTTTATTTGTTCATTTATTTATCAAAAAAATATTCATCGACTGGGTGCGGTGGCTCACGCCTGTAATTCCAGCACTTTGGGAGGCTGAGGCAGGTGAATCACGAGGTCATGAGATCGAGACCAGCCTGGCCAGCATGGTGAAACCCCATGTCTACTAAAAATACAAAAAAAAAATTAGCCGGGCATGGTGGTGCGTGCCTGTAGCCCCAGCTACTCGGGAGGCTGAGGCAAAAGAATCGCTTGAACCCAGGAGGCAGAGGTTGCAGTGAGCTGAGATTGTGCCACTGCACTCCAGCCTGGGTGACAGAGCAAAACTCCATCTCAAAATAATAATAATAAATATTCACCAAGGTCCTACTCTGTACTAGGCACTGGGAATACAGTAATAAGCAAACAGCCAAGGTCTGCTGGCCTCACAGAATTTATAGTCTAGCTGGAGTGATAGATAAGTAAATAATCATAAGACTCTATAATTATGAAGGATAATAAGAGCTTTGAGGAGGTACAGGGACCTTGGCCTCCTCCAGTTCGTTAGTGCCTGGCCTGGTTTCTTCGAGATGCCTAAGTGTTAACCAGGTGAAACAGGGGTGGGAGAGAGAAAGAAGAGTCCCTCCAAAAAGAACAGCAGGCTGGGCACAGAGGCTCACATCTCCCAAAGTAGTCCCAGCACTTTGGGAGGCTGAGGCAGGAGGACTGCTTAAGCCCAGGAGTTCAAGATTAGCCTGGCCAACATAGTGAAACCTCATCTCTACACACACACAAAAAAAAAAAATCAAAAAATTAGCAAGGTATGCTGGCATGAACCTGTAGTCCCAGCTACTCAGGAGGCTGAGGTGGGAGGATCACTTGAGCCTAGGAGGTCAAGGGTGCAGTGAGCCATGATCATGCCACTTCACTCCAGCCTGAGTGACAGAGCAAGACCTTGAAGAAAAAAAAAGAAAAAGAAAACCAAACCAAAACAACAACAACAAAAACAAAAACAAAAAACCCAGCAGGTGCAAAGATCCAGAGATTAGAAAGATTATGGAGTTTTCAAAGAATAGCAAGAATGAGCCAGAATGGCTGGAACTGAGAGGGTCAGGCAGGGGCCAGGAGGCCACAAGAGCTATGTGAAGGATTTGAGTCTTTATCCTAATGATGGCAGCACATACTCACATGCCAGACACTGCTCTAAATGCCTTCCATATGTTACCGCATGTAATCCTTCCAGCAACACTAAGGTAGGGATGATTTTTATCCCCATTTTACAGATGAGAAAACTGAGGCACAGAAAATCTCAGAAATATACCAGGATCATGTAATTAATAAGCAATAGAACCAGAATTTAAACCGAGGCAGTCTAGTCCCAACACCCACGCTCATCCATCACACCATACTGCCTTTCAGAGCAATAATGTGCCATTGAAGTGCTGCGATGGAGATGGGGTAGCAGAATCAGATTTGAATTGTGAAAAGATTGCTGTGGTTATGGGTTCTTATCACTCTAATCACTGCTTGCACCATCCTTGGGGAGGGCATTGGGGAGTTAACAGTCTCCATCTGGTGGTGTGCTGGTGCTGGCTTGCAAACACTAATTGGGAACATCTCTTCCCAACTCCCCGATCAATGATGTCACTTCAGTAGGCTGAAATCAGCTACGGTGAGAGTATTTACACCACGGAAAGGCACACGCTACAAACCAGGGTCTGCTTTTCTCTGCCAAGCTGGCTGATAAACAGTTAGCGGCACATCACTATCTCCGTCTTACCTCCGTAGCCTCTCGAAGTCTCCGTCCACATCCTTCCATTTCCAGCCCCCATGTCTTGAAGGGTTTCTCACCCTTCAAGGAAGGTGAGGGCCCTGAGTCTAGGAGTACAAAGGCCTAGATTATAGCCCAGCTCTGCTAGGCAGAGGAGTCGTTCCTGGCCCATTCTCTTCCACCCCAGGTCTGGAGGAATGCGGGCACATCAGTGTCTCAGCCCCCATCGTCCACCTGGGGGATCCCATCACAGCCTCCTGCATCATCAAGCAGAACTGCAGCCATCTGGACCTGGAGCCACAGATTCTGTGGAGACTGGGAGCAGAGCTTCAGCCCGGGGGCAGGCAGCAGCGTCTGTCTGATGGGACCCAGCAATCTACCATCACCCTGCCCCACCTCAACCACACTCGGGCCTTTCTCTCCTGCTGCCTGAACTGGGGCAACAGCCTGCAGATCCTGGACCAGGTTGAGCTGCGCGCAGGCTGTAAGTCCCTCTAGCCATCCAACTACTCTGCCTCCAACACCCTCCTGCCAATACTAATAAGAATATTACCAGCCGGGCGCGGTGGCTCAAGCCTGTAATTCCAGCACTTTGGAAGGCCAAGGCGGGCGGATCACCTGAGGTCAGGAGTTCATGACCAGCCTGGCCAACATGGCGAAACCCTGTCTCTACTAAAAATACAAAAAATTAGCTGGGCGTGGTGGCGGGCGCCTGTAATCCCAGCTACTTAGGAGGCTGAGGCAGGAGAATTGCTCGAACCCAGGAAGCAGAGGTTGCAATGAGCCGAGATCATGCCACTGCACTCCAGCCTGGGCAACAAAAGCGAAAATTGGTCACCAAAAAAAAAAAAAGAATACTACCTATTGAGCTCTTATCTAATAAGCACTTTATGGGCATGATATCAGGTAACAGTAGTACAAGTTGGTACTACTGTGTAGCCTCACTTTGCAGATGAGGAAACTGAGGGTCAGGGAAGGTACATGACTTGCCCTTGTCACACATTAATAAGGATGGAGGCAGTGTGGCTTTAAAGCCAGTGTGGTGACCACTACTCTACATAGCGCAAGTCCTCAGCCATCAGAGGGTGTCTCCAGGGAGAACATTCTCTACCAGCTGGGCTTGTCCCCGGCTTCTCCCCCACCCCAGTTTCAAACTTCCTTTCAAACTGAGCAAGACGGAGTTTGTGCCAAGTTGAGGCATAAGGAAAAAACAAAGACCAAGGTTCTTATTTAAGAATCAGTAACGGGCCGGGCACAGTGGCTCACACCTGTAATCCCAGCACTTTGGGAGCCTGTGGTGGGTGGATCATTTGAGGTCAGGAGTTTGAGACCAGCCAGGCCAACGTGTAGAAACCCTGTCTCTATTAAAAATACAAAAATTAGCCAAGCGAGCCAAGATCATGCCACTGTACTCCAGCCTGGGCCACAGAGTGAGACTCTGTCTCAAAAAAAAAAAAAAAAAAAAGCATCAGTAATGGCCACTGCTAAAACTTATGTAGCATTTCCTATATATCAGGCACTGTTCTGAGCACTTCATGTAGAGTGAGTCATTTAGCCCTTATGATAATGCTAGGGGGTGGGATTTTACCATTATCCCCATTTTACAGATGAGGATGCTGAGGCACAGAGCAGTTAAATAACTTCAAGACCACAGGGCTAATGAATGGCAGGACCAGGATGAAAACCCAAACACTACACTGTCACTGACAAAGGGTCTGGAGTTGGGGGACTTGGAAGTGGGCCACCCCTGGGCTGCTGGGGGTCTGTGAGGCTTGCCCCTGTGCATGCCTGCAACTTAGCTTCCCCCAGGGCTGCCCTTCCAGAGCCACTCTGCCTGGAGATGGGGGGCAGACAAGGTGACAACAGAGGAACCAAGCCAGGGCAAGGCAACACGGCCAGCTAGTCCCAGAGGGCGCTTTCTGAGTGGTCCCACCCAAAGCCCTCACACTCTTCCCACGCACATGCAGACCCTCCAGCCGTACCCAGCAACCTCTCCTGCCTCATGAACCTCACAACCAGCAGCCTCATCTGCCAGTGGGAGCCAGGACCTGAGACCCACCTACCCACCAGCTTCACTCTGAAGAGCTTCAAGTGAGGAGGGGCCCCCATCCTGGTCCCCTCCCTTTGGATTCTGGGGTGGGGCATGGGTATGTTGGGCATGCCTCTGGGAGGGAGAAGGGAGCCTCGCTTTCTTCCTCTGCTTGGCACCCAAGCCTGGACTATTGGCAGGAGCCGGGGCAACTGTCAGACCAAAGGGGACTCCATCATGGACTGCGTGCCCAAAGACGGGCAGAGCCACTGCTCCATCCCACGCAGACACCTGCTGTTGTACCAGAATATGGGCATCTGGGTGCAGGCGGAGAATGCACTGGGGACCAGCATGTCCCCACAACTGTGTCTTGAACCCATGGACGTTGGTGGGTGATGCAGGGGAGGGAGGGGGTCCCCAAAATGGGCAGACACTAAGAGGAAGGGAGAGGGAAACACAGAACCAGCAACAGACAAGAAGACACTGGAAGACCTAGAGACAGAGGCAGAGGAGAGGGACGGAGACAAAGAGAGGTGCAGCTGGAGACAGAGAAATGGTGACACAGACCCAGAGACAGGAAGAGACACAGAGGCAAGGAGGCACATTCAGTCATGCTTTCAGCTAAAGCACCCACTACGTGTTAGGCACTGCCCTAGGTACTGGGGATACAAAGCATCAAAAATCCTGCCCTCAGAATGTTAGATTCCAGTGGGGGAAAAAATAAGATAGAATTTCAGACGGCAATAAGCAAAAAGGAGAAATTAAAGGAGGGGAAGGGCATAGAGAGAGAGGGGAAGGGGAGCACTGGCTATTTCAATAGGTTTGTCAATAAAGGCCTCACTAAGAGAGTGACAATTGAGCAGATCCTTGAAGGAAATGAGGGAGCAAGCCCTGGATATCTGGAGGGAAAACATTTCAAGCAGAAGTAACAATCAGTGCAAAGGTCCTGGGGCAAGAGCAGATAACAGACACCTAGAGAGAAACAAAGACACAGAAAGAGGAACCACAGAAACCAGCCATTAGCAACGTGGACAGATGGTGAACCGCAGACAGGGAGACAAGAGGGAGCTAAAGCAGAGCCCTCTAGGGTGGGGCAGGGAGACTTTCTGACAGTCCCACTCCTTGCAGTGAAACTGGAGCCCCCCACGCTGCGGACCATGGACCCCAGCCCTGAAGCGGCCCCTCCCCAGGCAGGCTGCCTACAGTTGTGCTGGGAGCCATGGCAGCCAGCCCTGCACATAAATCAGAAGTGTGAGCTGCGCCATAAGCCACAGAGTGGAGAAGCCAGCTGGGCACTGGTGAGGCAGAGGGCAACCTGGAGAGCCTGAGGTGGTGGGGGCAGGGGGTAGGGTAAGTTGGGCTTGAGCTGGCCCTAGAATGACCCAGCGATACAAGGCTCAGGGTCATGTCCACCCCCAACCAGGTGGGCCCCCTGCCGTTGGAGGCCCTTCGGTATGAGCTCTGTGGGCTCCTCCCAGCCACGGCCTACACCCTGCAGATACGCTGCATGCGCTGGCCTCTGCCTGGCCACTGGAGCAACTGGAGTCCCAGCCTGGAGCTGAGAACTACTGAACGGGGTAAGGAGGTGATGAGAAGCTGGCAGCAGCCATTAGTATCCAGTCCAGGCTCCACGGCCTTCCCCAACCGGCACCCCCTCTTCTTGTTCCATCCACAGCCCCCGCTGTCAGACTGAACACATGGTGGCGGCAGAGGCAGCTGGACCCCAGGACAGTGCAGCTGTTCTGGAAGGTGACTCCCTCTGAAGGCCATCCCTCCACCTCGACACCTCCTCCAATCCAAACAGGCCCCTGCAAACCGAGGCTTAGGACTGCAACAGGTCTGGGAGGCGTGGATGCATTTATATGTGATTTGCATGCAATTTGCATGTGCCTAGGGAGCTGAGTTAGCTTTTGGAGAGACTACAACGCAGGTCACAGGGTACTTCAGTGAATAGTTAAGAGCCTGCTGTGTGCACCGACTTGTTTCTTCCTGCCCTCTGGTTTCTTCCTGCCCTCCTTCCTAGAACCTAGCACAAGGGGACAGAGGGAAAAGGGGAGGGGGATGAGAAGCCTGGCCCCAGCCTGGGGAGGCTCCGTTCGTATGATCCATCCACCCCACCTAGAGGCTCTCCTCAAGATGAACTGCACATCCCCTTCTCTTTTTCCTCCTGTGCCCCACAGCCAGTGCCCCTGGAGGAAGACAGCGGACAGATCCAAGGTTATGTGGTTTCTTGGAGACCCTCAGGCCAGGCTGGGGCCATCCTGCCCCTCTGCAACACCACAGAGCTCAGCTGCACCTTCCCCCTGCCTTCAGAAGCCCAGGAGGTGGCCCTTGTGGCCTATAACTCAGCCGGGACCTCCTGTCCCACCCCGGTGGTCTTCTCAGAGAGCAGAGGTAAAAGGGGCTGGGGGCCAGAAGAACACAGAGGTCAAGCGCATCAATTCGAAGGCTAGACTGCCTGGGTTCAAATCTAGTCCCCTTAGCCGGGGGTGGTGGCTCACACCTATATTCCCAGCACTTTGGGAGGCCGAGGTGGGCAGATCATCTGAGGTCAGGAGTTCAAGACCAGCCTGGCCAACATGGTGAAACCCTCATCTCTACTAAAAATACAAAAATTAGCCAGGCATGGTGGCGGGCACCTGTAATCCCAGCTACTCGGGAGGCTGAGGCAGGAGAATTGCTTGAACCTGGGAGGCGGAGGTTGCAACAAGCTGAGATTGCACCATTGCACTCTAGCCTGGGCAACAGAGGGAGACTCCGTCTCAAAAAAAAAAAAAAAAAATCTAGTCCTATCACTTGCTAACAGTGTGACCTGAGCAAATTACATCCCGTCCCCAGCCTCTGTTTACACATCCAGCAGATGGCGACGATAACAGTGCCTACTGAGGGGTGCTGTGGGGTGTACATGAGTTAAGACAAGTACCTGGCACAAAGTAACTGCTCTGCATGTGTCCGCTGTTGTTATTATCATTAGCCAGAACCAGGTTAAGCGCGCTCTCTCTCTCTCTCTCTCTCTCTCTCTCTCTCACACACACACACACACACACACAGCCCATTCTGCCAAGAAAGCCAAGAGAGAAAGCCCTAGGCTTTTCCACCTGGAACATGGTCTATGAGTTCATTGCTCATTCTCAGGAGATCAGTTGCCACCACCCATTGCTTTCCCTAAACATGGGTCCTCACCAGGTGGGACGAATAATCACAATAACAATAATCATAGCTAATATTCCCACTTACTAGCTGTGTGATCTTAGATAAGTTTCTTAACCTCTCTGTGTCTCTCAGTTTTCTCATTAATAAAATGGGAACAAGAGTAGTACTTCCTGGGTATAACTATTAGAGGACTCAGTGAATTAAAATATATCAAGGAATCCAGTACAGTGGCTCATGCCTGTGATCCCAGCACTTTGGGAGGCTGAGGCGGGCAGATCACCTGAGGTCAGGAGGTCAAGACCAGCCTGGCCAACATAGTGAAACCCCATCTCTACTAAAAACACAAAAATTAGCCAGGCATGGTGGCGGTTGCCTATAATCTCAGCTACTTGGGAGGCTGAGGCAGCAGAATCACTTGAACCAGGGAGGCAGAGGTTGCAATGAGCCAAGATGGCACCACTGCACTTCAGCTTGGGTGACAGAGCAAGTCTCCGCATAAAAATAAAATAAAATAGAATAGAATAAAGTAAGGTAAAGTAAAAAGTAAACTAAAATAAAATATATCAAGGACTACGCCTGATACATACCAAGAACCATAGAGTGTTACCTATTATCACTAACAAGAACTACTCTGTGCCAGGCACTATGCCAGGCTTGTTTTGTGCATCAAGTCATTTAATCTGCACTGAGACCCTATGAGGTAGGAACTTTTATCATCATTTCCACTTTACAGATGAGGAAACTGAGGCTCAGATGTTGACCTACCAAAGGTCATCCAGCCTGTAAGTAGCAAAGCCAGGATTTGAACCCAGGCTTCTGGCTCCAGGGCCTGCATTCTTTTCACCTTCATTCCACCATTTCCCACCCTGTCTCCAGGCCCAGCCCTGACCAGACTCCATGCCATGGCCCGAGACCCTCACAGCCTCTGGGTGGGCTGGGAGCCCCCTAGTCCATGGCCTTGGGGCTATGTGATTGAGTGGGGCCTAAGCCCCCCCAGCACGAGCAATAGCAACAAGACCTGGAGGATGGAACAGAACGGGAGCGCCACGGGGTTTCTGCTGCAGGGTAAGGCTGGCCTGGAAAGTTGGGCAGGGTCAGGGACAAAGGGAGGCAGTGCTTGTCTGACAATAGGCATGGGGCAACCTGAACTGCCCAAGAGACATGGATTCTCCAGCCTTTCTTGATCCTTCACTGTTCTCATTTCAAATCCTCATAATCAGGAAGTTCTTCCTATAGTCTAACCTGATCCTTTTTCTATAGCCCTGACCCTGCCACCCTTCTAGCTCTCTCTTCTACTTTTCTTCCCTAATTCTCATCAAATGATCTAAAGAAGATATTGCGGAGGTTAACCCTGAATCATGAGGCCAGGTTAGCCCTGACTAGAGGTCTGAGGCTAGCTCCGGATCATTAGCACAGGTTAGCCCCTAACAGGAATGCCTACCTCATTTTCTCTCTACAGAGAACATCAGGCCCTTTCAGCTCTATGAGATCACTGTGACTCCCTTGTACCAGGACGCCATGGGACCCTCCCAGCATGTCTATGCCTACTCCCAAGAAATGGGTTCGTCAACCATCAGGCCCCTTTCCAGAATCCTCTCCTCTCTCTCCCAAGGCTCTGCCTGGTCCCCAGCAATCAGCAGTATAGGGAACACTGCCTTCTTACCATACTTCCGGCCCTGGAGAGGATCTCTCCCAATCCCCTGGCTTAACACTGGATCCCTACAGCTGGACAGAAATCAGGTGCTGTGATAGAAATTGAGTAGAGAGTTGGCACAATTCAAGGAGCAAACCTGGCAAAAATCAATCCATTTCCCAGACAAAAATAAGGTGTTATATGTAACAGAAATTGGACAGAGGGGCCGGATGCAGTGGCTCACACCTGTAATCCTAACACTCTGAGAGGCCAGGGCAGGCAGATCCCCTGAGCTCAAGAGTTTGAGACCAGCCTGGGTAACCTTGTCTCTACAGAAAAATAAATAAATAAATCAACCAACCAGCCAATCAACCAAAAATTAGCTGGGTGCAGTTGTGTGTGCCTGTAACCCCAGCTACTTGAGAGGCTGAGGTGGGAGGATCGGATTGCTTGAGCCCAGGAGGTCGAGGCTGTAGTGAGCCAAGATGGCACCACTGTACTCCAGCCTGGGTGACAGAGCGAGACCCTGTCTCAAAAACAAAAGCAATATAAATTGGACAGAGGACCTGGCATAAATTCGGAGAGTGAGTGGCAGAAATCAGAGAGTAAATCAGATGAAATCAGGCCTGGTAGAAATCAGAAAGTGAGGCTCCAGAGTCAAGCAGAGCCAGGTTCAAATCCTGACTCAGATACTTATTAGCAGTAGGTGGAATCTGGATTAAATCCCTGGGAAAATGAGGCTTGGGCATGAGTCCCCTTGGACTCTTTTCTCACCCACCCCACAGTGTCTGAGAAGCTACAAGAAGTCCAATCGGGCTCTTGCTCTGCCCCACTCCCTTCAGCCCCTGCACCTCTCTCTTCCCACAGCCCCCCGCCATGCCCCAGAACTGCATCTAAAGCACATTGGCAAGACCTGGGCACAGCTGGAGTGGGTGCCTGAGCCCCCTGAGCTGGGGAAGAGCCCCCTTACCCACTACACCATCTTCTGGACCAATACTCAAAACCAGTCGTTCTGTGAGTCTATCCTCAGTTCCCCACAGCCCCAGAAGGCCCGGGAGGGGGTGCTCAGCCGCCATGGAGGCAGCTTCAGCATCCAGGCCTACGCTGACCGTACACCCCTCCCAGCCACCATCCTGAATGCCTCTTCCCGGGGCTTTGTCCTCCATGGCCTGGAGCCCGCCAGTCTGTATCACATTCACCTCATGGCTGCCAGCCAGGCCGGGGCCACCAACGGTACAGTCCTCACCCTGATGACCTTGATCCCAGGTAAGGGGAGACGAGGGCTGGGCAGAGATGGTTACTGGAAGGGTACCCCACCCAAAGGATGCTGATTTTGAGAGTAGATGGGGACTGACTTTGAATCCCCTGGTCGGAGGGCGGAGACCCAGCCTTCCCCACATGCATGCTAACTTCTTCTGGCCCTGCCCTCACTGCAGAGGGATCCGAGCTACACATCCTCCTGGGCCTGTTCGGCCTCCTGCTCTTGCTCTCCTGTCTCTGTGGAACTGCCTGGCTCTGCTGCAGCCCCAGGTGAGTCCCTTTGAGAGACCTGAGATCCTGCCTCCCCCACCCACAGGGAACCTCAGGTCCAGGTGGGCCCATCTAAGTCCCTTCCAACCTTCCCAAACTTTAGGGCCCATGTCTGAGAGTCCCAGCCCCCAGCTTCTTCTCTCTGCACTAAGGGCAGCTGCATCTCTTCAGGTGGGATGGGTGGGACAAAGGATGGAAAGATTGGAGGGTACGTCTGACCCAGCCTCCACCTGCCCTCCTCTCCAGCAGGAAGAATCCCCTCTGGCCAAGTGTCCCAGACCCAGCTCACAGCAGCCTGGGCTCCTGGGTGCCCACTATCATGGAAGAGGTAAGAATCCAGGAGGGAGAGGGAAATGAGGTGAGGATGTCAGCCCAGGCTCAGTGAAGGCACACCTTCTGAAGCCTAGTACTCAGGCCTTCCTGTCACTTCCGGCAACATCCTCTCCCTTTGGAGTGAAGCAGACCCAAGTTTGAATCCCAGCTCTGTCCATCTCAAAGCCTCAGTCACCTCCCTGTGATATGGAAAAACTGACCATGCTGAGTCTGAACGGTGCATGGCATGTGTCAGGCATGTGTGAGGAACATACCAGTGCTTTGCAAGTGGAACCCTTTGTGTTCCAGCAGTAACAGCAGGAATGTCCCCACAACTGCCTGGACCTAGACAGGGATGGTGGCTGGGGCAGACATCTGAAAGGAGCCGTGCCCTCACCCAACATCCTTGTGTGCAGGAGGCCTTCCAGCTGCCCGGCCTGGGCATGCCACCCATCACCAAGCTCACAGTGCTGGAGGAGGACGAGAAGAAGCCACTGCCCTGGGAGTCCCATAACAGCTCAGAGGCCTGCGGCCTCCCCACTCTGGTCCAGACCTATGTGCTCCAGGGGGACCCAAGAGCAGCTTCCGCCCAGCCCCAATCCCAGTCCGGCACCAGCAATCAGGTCCTCTACGGGCAGCTGCTGGGCAGCCCCACAAGCCCAGGGCCAGGGCACTATCTCCGCTGTGACTCCACTCAGCCCCTCTTGGCGGGCCTCACCCCCAGCCCCAAGTCCTATGAGAACCTCTGGTTCCAGGCCAGCCCCCTGGGGACCCTGGTAACCCCAGTCCCAAGCCAGGAGGACGACTGTGTCTTTGGGCCACTGCTCGACTTCCCCCTCCTGCAGGGGATCCAGGTCCATGGGGTGGAGGGGCTGGAAAGCTTCTAGGGCTTCCTGGGGTTCCCTTCTTGGGCCTGCCTCTTAAAGGCCTGAGCTAGCTGGATGAGAGGGGAGGGTCCAGAAGCCCATGACTAAAAACTACCCCAACCCAGGTTCTCCCCATCTCCAGCCACCAGCATCCCCTCTCCCGCCAGTCTCCATAGGCTGGGCCTCCCAGGCAATCTTCATACTTTAAGGACCAGATCATGCTCCATCTGGCCCCACCCAATGGCCTTTTGTACTTGTTTCCTATAACTTCAGTATTGTAAACTAGCTTTTGGTTTGGAGTTTTTGTTATTGTTTATAGACACTCTTGGGTGTACCTGAGTCTCTGCTATTTATTTTTCAGGGCCCAGCAGTCACGGGGAAACTTCTCAGAGTTGGTCCTTCCCCCCTCCCTCCCTTTCCTCCCTTTTCCTTCTTTCCTCCCTTCCCCCCTCCCTCCCTTCCTCCCTTCCTCCCTTTTCCTTCTTTCCTCCCTTTCCCTTCCTTCCTTCCTTTCCCTTCCTTCCTTCTGCTAGCTCTCAGCATCTAGGCCATATGCAAATGACTCAGCTCAGTTCACCCTCAGAGGGCTCCATTCTAGTGGTGGGGACTTGAAAACCGATCCTTAGTGCACAGTGGCATGGGTTACATGGGGGGAGTGACAGAGTGCGGTGGGACACGGTGAAGAGACTTTGGAAAAAACTGTTGGGGAAATATAATTTAAGACAAAATCCCCTGCCAATCCAGAAAACCTCTTCACAAGGGTAAAAAAGCAAGAAAACAGTATTATTGAATAAGCATTAAACCAGAATGTGATACACTGGTGATCCACTAAAGAGACTGCAAAGAGAGAAAAATCTTACCCTTTTATGTAGCCAAGTGAATACAATTTATTGTATCCATTTTCTCAAGATAAACAACAACTGGTCCTCAAGCAAGAGGACGTGGCGGCACCCACTCTAAATTTACCTGGTAAGTGGGAAGCCACCTGTGTCTGCTAATTGCCTTTATCCAAAGGAAAAATCGATTTCCCCTATCTTTATGAAAAGGGGTAGGTTGCAACTAAGAGCTAGGCACCAACTGAAGTTAGGCCCCTACTCTCCCACAGGAACTGAGAGAGAGAGAGAGCACTATCCTCCTTAATTATTACATTTCAAAGAGTTGGCTCCCAGGTCCTTGAGAAAAACATTCCGGGGTTGTAAAACTGGCAAGAGGTTTATTTACCTTTTAAGCAGTAGAAAAAGTATTCACAATTACAAGTTTTCTAAAGTAAATGCTTTCAGAAAAGTGAGAAGAAGGAGTCTTTTCCTTTTTTGCTCCAGGGAAAATGAAATTCTCTTTTTCTTCTAATTTGTATTCACCCTTACACCACTGTTTCACAAATAACATCACCGTTAAGATTTACTAAATGCTCACTATATACCAGGTGCTCTCCATACAACTGCCTCAGTTAATCCTCTCAACAACCTAAAAGAGAGATATTGTTATTACTACCCCTACAGGGCCCACAAAGGTTAAGTGACTTGCCCACAAGATCACACGTTGAGTAAATGGCTGAGTTAGGATTCCAGACCAGGGCTGTACGATTCCAAACTCAACGACTTTAGTCTCCAGGCTACCAGGCTGCCAGAGACACGGCTGAAATCCAGTATTAGTTCTTACAGGGTCCCATCCTTGACTAAGGGACTGAGGGGTGGGGTGGAGAAGGGATTGGCTTGGGGGTAGAAGGCTACCGCAGGCACCATGGAACTCCCACAATAACCCCGGCCCGAGGGCCAGGAATGTACTGAGAGATTAAGGACGGGATGCATGCCCTCCAAAAAGTGGCATTTTAGAATTTATACAGCACCGCAGCACACTGCTAAACGTGGGCACACAACCATCACGGCCCGATCACGCGCAGCGGGAACCCGCTCTCTGAGCTCCACCCCGTGCGTCGTGTCATCAGAGTTCCGCCGGCCAATCCATTCTCTCGGTCTTCGTCTTCGTCGGTATTGCAACTGCCTCCATTGATCGAGCCTGGGCCAGCATGGCGGCGCCCATATAACCCGGCCCGCGCCGCAAAGGGAACGGCGGCGGCAGCGTGGGCCCCGCGGGGTTTAGAGGTCATCATGCTCAGGGTCGCGTGGAGGGCGCTGAGTTTGATTCGGACCCAGGCGCCAGTCCTCGGGCTGCCGGGCGGTGGGAGCGCCAGGTTTCCTTTCAACCAGCGGGGCCTGCAGCCTCGAAGTGAGGAGCTGAGAAATGGGACGGCGGGCGTAGGGAAACAGGGTTCGGCGGCGATAGGGAATAAGGAAGCACAGGAGTAGGGGAGATGTACAGCGGTCAGGATAAGGGGGAAAGGGCGGTGGTTGCGCAAGAGGTGAAACAAGGTGTGAGAGGCAAGGAAGGGGTAGGGAAGAAATGGGGCAGCGGTTAGGCTCAGAAGCCCATAAACCGTGGCGGACGGACAATGCGAGGGGCCCAGAAAGGAATTGAGGGTGGACTATTTAAGGAGATGGGCCTCAGCCTTCTCTTTTCTGCGTAGGTCTCCTCCTCCAGGCCGCGCGCGGATATGTCATCCAGAAACCAGGTAGGAGTTCCTGAGGTGGGACTTGGGGCGGAAGAGAGACCTCCTGGAAGGCTGGGGTGGGTAAGGGGACCGATGTGGCGAGTTAGAGCCACTAGATGGGGTGAGCCAGAGGTCCTGAGCAAAAGACTTCACGTCTACCTTATACAAAGCCCTAGGCCTGCTGCCTGTATAGAGAGAGAGAGGTGTTAAGGGCGGAAGCAGGAGCTTTACAGGTGAATGAGTGAAAATGAGCTTGCCAGAGGGAGTGCATGGCTGGCACCACCCAGGCCTACCTAGAGTATGGCACTTTGTGTCTGCGCTTCTGAGATGCAGGATGTAGTTTCCCATTGCAACTCAGTATGTGTAGTAGTTAAGATCCTTCTTATTAGGTAAATGATATGGGGAGAGGTACTTCCTCTTTCTGATTCTTATTTCTAAAATGAGTGTGAAAGTATCCATTTGCAAGGATTGTTAGGATTCAGCGATAATACATGAAAAGCATCCTTAACACTGTGCTCAATTAAACATATTAGTAGTATATATTAGAATTTATTATCCGGGGCCGGATGCGGTGGCTTACGCCTATAATCTCAACACTTTGGGAGGCCGAGGTGGGTGGATCACTTGAGTTCAGGAGTTCGAGACCAGCCTGGCCAACATGGTGAAACCTCCTCTCTACTAAAAATACAAAAAAAAAAAAAAAAGCCGGGTGTGGTAGTGCGCGCCTGTAATCCCAGCTACTCAGGAGGCTGAGGCAGGAGAATCGCTTGAACCTGGGAGGTGGAGGTTGCAGTGAGCCGACCATGCCACTGCACTCCACCCTGGGTGACAGAGCGAGACTCCATCTCAAAAAACAAAAAAAGAAAAAGAAATTATTGGCTGGACATGGCCCCAACATTTTGGGAGGCCAAGGCTGGAGGATCACTTGAGGCCAGAAGTTCAAGACCAGCCTGGGCAACATAGCACGACCCAGTCTCTACAAAAAATAAGTAGAATTTATTGCTATTAATATGTTTGTAATATAATTTTTTTTTCTGCCTCCCTATCAGAACCAACTTGAGCTGTTACAAACAGAAGAGGCCCGTTAATGTTGTTTGCATAGCAGGGTCTGACTGGAGAGAATAAGTCCATCCACCCTATGCCTCTTTCTCATCTCCAAGGGATAGCAGGGGTGCACACACCCAGACTGAGGTTCTCCTGTGATCTCTACCTGGTGCTTACATTTCAGGCATCGTACAGCTAGCTGCCTTTCCTCAACCCCCTTAATTCATTCATGCAGTCAGCCAGCAAGTGTTTGCTGAGTGCCTAGTCTAGGCTGAGCCATGGGTCAGACTATAGTGGATTCCAAAGGAGTCAAACTCTATCCTGTCCACAGGAGGACCCATCCTAGTGGGGGATCTGAGAACTGTAGAGCCAGATAGGTGTGTGAAAGGTGCAGGCACAGTGTAGGGTCTTGGGAAAAGCCACCTACTCCTAGCATGAAATATCAAAGCAGGTGCCCACAGAGTTTGCAGAGGAGAAACTGAGCCCAGAGATATGCAGTGCTTTGCTTGAGACCCTGGATGTCCCTTCTGGAGTTGGAGAGTGGGTGAGAAGAGCCAGGTCTGGGAGGGTGGGCAGCGAGAGTTGACTCTGGGTGTTTTCTATCCCCATATTTACTTGACAGCCCAGCCTGGGCAGGATGATGACCCACCTCCTTCTACACTGCTCAAAGACTACCAGAATGTCCCTGGAATTGAGAAGTAAGCAGGAAGAAACCTAGTAGAGGAGGCAGGGGGCCCTGGGAGGATTGTCGGGGAGTGGGAAAGACAGTGGCTTTGAGACTTGGCTTGCTGTAGCTGAAGCTTGATCTAGAAGGAGGCAGGGGCCCAGGTGTGGTGAGGGTGGGTGGTCAGCAAGGCAGATGGCACTCATGAAGCTCGGCTACTTGGGGGTTTTTTTGTACTCTAGATGAACACCCTGTACCACTAGATTCCAAAGAGCTAACATACTTCACAGGTCTTTGTAGAAATCTCTTCTCTTGTTCCTCACAAAAGCTGTATGTCTCCATTTTATAAATTTTCAAGCTGCCCGGTGTCATACAGTTCTAAGGGGCAGAGCTAGAGTTTGAATCCAGGGCTGACTGACACCAAAGCCAGAGGCCCTCTGCTCAGCTCCTGTCCAGTGTGGTGGGAGCTCGTCAGTCCCTCCCACTGTGCAATTTAACTTGAAATGTCTCAAAACAGATCGAACCATGTTGTAGCTAAAATGGAAATCCTCTCCTTGGCCTCCCTATGATGAGACCGAAACAGTTGAGCTGACAGCCCCAATTTCTATAGTTTTCAGCCCAGCAAGCCAGATCCACACTGACTTTTAATTTCTGAGAAATGGCTCCCCACCTCCAGGGAGATTCATTTGCTACAGAAGGAATTTTTCAATCATCTTTGCTTTTCAAACTAAAATGAACCAGCATTGTTTTCCTCTCCCAGTCTCCTTCCTATGTCTGTCTCATTGCTGTGGTTTTTCCACAGGGTTGATGATGTCGTGAAAAGACTCTTGTCTTTGGAAATGGCCAACAAGGTGAGCAGCCTTTGCCAAGCCTCAGCCTCCCTCAGTCTTCTCCTCTGGGACTCCCTCCTACCCTGGTTAGCACCCCGCATCTCATGCTTCTCCAGTCACAGCACTTAGCCCATTGTCATTCTGTGTCCACTTGTCAATATCCCTAGACAGAGCATCTTCAGGGCAGGGACACTTTTGTTCCCCCACCATACCCCTAGCACCTGACAAACAGGTGCTCAGTGAATGAA